TGTGTGTGTGTGTGTGTGTGTGTGTGTGTGTGTGTGTGTGTGTGTGTATGGGATGTGCCCCAAGTGGTAAGCCTGAGCCTTGGAGTGCCCACAATGGGCTTAGATACCCCAAGAGGTCTCAGTGTAGCAACAGGAAGCCCCAGTATGTTTTCAAATCAATCCTTGAATTCATTCATTCATTCAGCCATCTGAATACATGTATTGACAGCATACTATGTGCCAGCTTTAGTTTTCAGCCCCTGGAAGCCTCATTCTGATTTCCTCTGATTGTGGCATGAGAGGTGTTCCCAGCTAGAGGCCTGTGGGAGAAAAGAAACTGCATTCTTAGAGTCAGAGAGGAAGAAAGTTGTAAACATTGAACGCCCTTCCTCTCAATCTGGCCAGAGCGTGGGAAGGTGTGGAGTAGAGGCTCAAGGCTCGTGAGACCCACCTCCGCTCTGCTTAAGGGACAGGGCCCATCTTAGGGTCTGGGTGTTCAGTCATCTGATAATGCCTTGCAGATGGATCTCTGCTGTGGGAAAGGGGTGGGCTGAAGAAGACCTGAAGGAGGGGGCAGGGAGGTGGGCTCATCACTTTGAGCAGGTAGGAGAGAGGAAAGAATGGAAGATTGGATTGTGTGTGTCTGAGGGAGTGCTGGGGGATGGCTCTATTCTGGTCCCTATTTGTGGTTACTGGTCATGAAGTCACTAGGATGACCCTATCTTTCCAGTTGCCCACCGCCTGTAGCTCTGCCCATATTTCCCTTCCCTTACATCTCCTGTCCCACCCTCTCTACCCCCCCACCCCTCACCCCTGAGCATTTTCTAGCTTGCCTGGATAGATTTAGAGACCTGCTTGTTGGCTATAATGTCTTTTCATTCTTTCTTCTTCTTTTTTTTTTTTTTTAAAAAAAAAAACAAAACAGAACAAAACCAAAAAGTGTCCAGATAATTGTGTTTGGTTGATTTATTTACAGTTGGAGACGGGGATGAATAAGGGGTGGAGGGAGGTGGGACTTTTTCTGCTTGGTGAAGGACTGCTTCAAACCAAAAGCTCTCTCCCTGAGGTCTCTCCCAAGGCACCCCATGTGGGACTGCGTAAGGGTATCCTGGGTCATGGTTGAGCAGGTGCCTAGAACCCCGAGATTCTCCCTGGAATTCTGCGGTCCCATTGTCACAGTGGAGTGGGGTCTCGTGGTTTTAGAGGCCAAGGAAGCCTCGTCCGCCATTGCTAGCTTCTGAATCAGGTACTCAGTAGCGCTGGGACATAACCTAGAGTTTGCACAGGATGAGTTCACAGCTCAATTTAGTTTGTTTAGATGGGGTTGGAGAGGACACTCTGCACTTAGGGGGCTGGCTAGTGGTGGTAAGGTGATGGTAAATAGCAGCAAGTCCCATGGCGCCAGACTTCATGTTCTCGACCTGGGGATGGGTATGCTCCATGAATTCTGAAAGACTGGGAGAATAGGAATCTTTGCCTTTAGGCTCTCAGTGTCAGCCTGTGCTTCGGGACTTGTTCCTGCTTGGATTCATAGACATGTTCCCATAGCTTCTGCCTCCAAGGGGTGGGCATGTATGCATCTGCACGCCTTTCTCTGTCTCTGTGTGTGTGTGTGTGGGGGGGCTGATTTAGGATGGAAGTCCCTCCCTGGAGGTCAGAAGCAGCCTGGAGACTATGTTGAGTCTCTTGCCTTTTGAGGGAAGTGGCTTGTCTCTGTCCTTGTCCTCCAGATCCCTCCCTGATCCAGAGAGTCCTAGGTTTCTAACTTCGTTGGTCCCCAACTTCTTTAATTACCTGAACATTCTACGGAGGCCCCTAGCTTGGCTGATGCCGGGAGCAGGAGATAATAAGGTTGAGAATTGTTCCTTCAGCCCCTGGCCACCTCCTTATGGGGCTCAGGCCAAGGCACGTTGAGGTAGTGGGATGGTGTAGCCTGAAGATTAACTTTCGGATTCCTCAGCCAAGTATAAGGGCATATTTTCCCCAAGGCACACCCTAGCATCCCTGCCTCCTTAGCCCCTCTGGCTGGGCTCTAGCCTTGCACCCTTGATAACGGGTTATAAGAGATCTCTTTTCTCTCAGGAACTTCCCCCAAAAGAAAAAAAAGTAGAGCCAAACTTATCAGTACATACAGTGGCTCATGTCTGTGTGTACTCTCTCTGTGTGTGTGTGTGTGTATGTGTGCATATGTGCATGTGTGCATGTATGAATGAGTATGGGCTTTTCCAGGGGTGAGTGTACATATCTTATGATGAGTGGAGACGACACACACCTGTATGGTTGGTATATTCGCTCTACGAATCTGACTCTGTTTCTCTCTCTCTCTCTCTCTCTCTCTCTCTCTCTCTCTCTCTCTCTCT